GGACGGGACCGGGAGCCGGCCCGCACACCACTGTCCACCCCACAGGGAAGTGCAGGATAGAGATGAACAAGTTGCCAGGACCCCTCAACACGAGAGGTCTTCTGCCTGCCTGGAGCAAAGATTTGGGACGTGACGGGAATGATCCAGGCCATGATTCAGCTCACCGATTACTACCCCGTGGTCCTAGTCCATGTGGGTACTAATGATGTGGCCAGGAGAAGCCCCGATCACCTTACCATGCTCTGGGCGTCGTCCGGAGGTAAGGACGTGCCCAGGTGGTATTCTATTCTGTCCTACCAGTGAGTGGACATGGAAGACGACACGAGAATTGCATTAGAGAGACCAGCTGGCGGCTTCGGCAATGGTGTCTCGAGGCAGGCTTCGGCTTCCTTGACAATGACCCGCACACCACGACGAGAGACATGCTCACCTGTCCCCCAAAGGTAAGCGTGTGTTCTCTTCTAGGTTGGCGGATCTCCTCCGGTGGGCTTTAAACTAGGCTCATCGGGGGAGGGGGTGGTGAGGGCGGGGGAAGCCGTGGACCACCAAACCATGTGGCACCCACAAGGACAGCCCAGCCTGAAGAAGGAGAACATCGGGAACCTGCAACCCATGGGGCGGCCAGCAGTACAGCACAGGTAAGCAATAAGCAGGTAAGCAATAAGGGGCCCTTTCGGCATCAGAGCCGGGGGGCAAAGGCGCCAGTCACAGGGTTCAAGTGCCTATACATTAACACTAGGAGCATGGGGAGCAAGCAGGATGAACTAGCACTCCTGCTTGCAGAAAACACCTACGACTTAGTAGGGCTAACAGAAAGCTGGTGGGATCCTTCCCACAACTGGGCAGTACACATTGAAGGTTATAAGCTGTACAGAAAGGATAGAGTGGGAAAGAGAGGGGGAGGGGTGGCCCTGTGTCAACGAGCGATATACATCGACCGTTATCAAAATGGAATCGGAGGAGGAGAAAGTAGAAGGATTGTGAGTTAGGTTACATGGAGGTCAAGGAGAAAGGGATTTGGTAGTAGGGGTCTGCTACAGACCCCCACATCAAGGGGAAGAACTAGATTTGGGGCTCCTGAGGCAGCTCTCGGAGACCATAAAAACTAGGGAGGCGGTAGTCATGGGGACCTAAACTACCCAGATATCTGCTGGGAGATGCAGACAGCAAAGTCCCACCGTTCACGCAGGTTCCTAACCTGTGTACAGGACCTCCATCTGACTCAGGAGGTACATGGTCCTACTAGGGGGAATGCCTTACTGGACCTGGTATTGGCAACAGGGGATGACATGGTAGGAGACCTACAGATCGGTGGTCACCTGGGGGACAGTGATCACCAAATAATAGAATTCA